ATGGTCTAAGCCACTGCCATCTTCATCAAGGACCCTGTTCCCCAATACAGGGTAGGAATTGTGGCAGTGGAGTGGATGAAAAGTTCCAAGATTGGGAAATGGACTTGCACTCTGCTTCAATATAAGCCAGGGCTTCCAGTCTGAGCTGTTGTAGTAGCCCACCAACCTTCTGGCTCAAGCAGGTTTTCATAAAATCGTGGGAAGGGACCCAAAGGATCATCTAGTCTAGTTCCCTGCAAAGCAAGGATCACAACTATAGAATCACTGGCATGTGTGTTTTCCATTAACATTGGAGCTATGATCTGTAGCTCTGTCTACAGTGTTAAAGAGCAGTCTTAGAACTAATCACTATGGAGAAAAAATAATTTTTTGGTGGCTTCACCTCATTAATCTCTTCAGTGTGAGCTCTGTGAATGGAGTTTTTTAATTGCTCATTTTATTTGTTATTTAGTTGTCATGTTCGTTTGTCAGTCGCCTCCTGCAAATCTCTAGGCAACTGTCTCTAGGCAATGCACTACACGAGTATTAGACAAACATCAAAACACATCAAAACACAAAAACCACAGTTCACACTAACAATCTAGCCTACCATAGAAATAAATATCATCCCCAGGAAAAAAAATCAATTCAGCAATTAGAAAGAGCTAAAACACCCACACATAAGCTGAATCCATCTAATTGATGTTTGTGTGGCAGAGACTTAATATTAAATAAAATTTAGCGAACATTAAAATATGGCAGAAGGATGCTAAAAGGCCTCAGAGAAGAGAAACGTCACTGCCCGGCCCCTAAAAGGTATTAGAGTGGGTGCCTGGTGGAGGGCCGTGAAAATTTGTGTCCTGGGCTTTTTAAACATGTCTACCCATACACTATCTGAAATCAAAGGGGCACATTGGTTGCCAGATGTGAAGTATATTGGCATTGTTTCCAGCTCTTCTACCCACTAGTCAGTTATTTGAAGAACTGTTTCAGGCAGTTTTGTATTTTGTGGAGCAATGAGAAAACATTTTAATCTAATCATTGTCTCCCCCATTATTATTATACAAATATATGTTTGGGCCAGAATTGCACCTTTACTTATCCTGCTGGTTATGATGGAAACTGTCAGCAGAGAGACAAGAAGTGGTGCCCCAGTCGAAATAATGTAATGATAATATTCTAATATACCACATTCCAGACTCAGAACCACCGAATTATTACAAGGCCAGCAATCCTACCCAACCTAATTCTGTCACTGATCACTTCTTTTAAAGTGAATTTGGTTTTAATCATGCCACCACTAGGCAGTTCAAGAGATCCTATTGACTAAGTAGGAGCTTAATGACATGTGAAGTGTTGCAGCCTGCCTTGTAGCCCTGCCTGGCCAAATCAGCAACATGAGAGAATGCAAAAGTCAACACGCATTGTCTTGAGGAAAAGCCTTTTGTCTTCATGATACTTCTTTTTCAGAACTTCATACTCCCTCTCCCTGCAGCTTCACTCTGGCTTTCTTTGGTAGATGTCATGTTTTCCCCTGACCTAGTCAAATGAAATGAAAAGAACCCTGAAGGCAAGGGAGATACAGAACCTTGAGCTGCTATCATATGTGCTTTTCCTGTTACACAGGACACATTGAGCAAGTACAACATTTAAAACTGGCCTTCCATGAAAGGGTATGAAATGTTGCTGCCATTATGATCAAATCTGCTTTAAAAAAACCCACCAAAACCCACACTTTTCCATTATCCTGAGAGTTACATTTCTAAATGCACCTCTGTGAACAGTACCCTTGGCATTTCTTGTCAATGTGTGTGGATTAGGATTGCCATTTGATACATCCTTCTTGATTCAGAATGTGATTTAGTGACTGCTACATTTTTATCATGTCATTTCTGTAAGCATAAGGGCAGAGTGAATGAATGCTGGTGGTTTCCTTTCTAAGTGGTCTCATAAGAACATAGCAAGAGTCCTTCTAGATCAGACCAAAGTTCTATGTAGTACAATATCCTGTTCTCATAATAGTGACTAGCCAGAGTCCTATGAGAAGCCTATACCAAGCAGGGCATGAGCACAACAGCACTTTCCCTTATATTCAGATGCACAGTACCTCTGGTGTTCGAGGTAGCACACAACAATCATGGCTAGTAACTTTTGACAGTCTCATCCTCCATTAATTTTCCTAACCTCATTTTAAAGGAGGCCATCACTGGCTCTTGTGGTAGCCAATTCCATGGTTTAACTACGTGCTGTGTAAAGAAGTACTTCCTTTTGTCTGTCTTGAATATTCATTGGATGACAACCCACCCAGGGTCAAGTATTATTAGAGAGGGAGAAAAACTTATCTCTATCCAATTCCTTCTCACCATGCATACTTTTAGATGCCTTTGTCATTTACTCACTTTCTCATCTTTTTTTCCTAAACTAAAAAGCCCCAAGTGTTGTAACCTTTCCACATACAGGAATTGCTTAAGCGCATTGATCATGTGCCCCTTTTCTGAACTGTTCCCAGCTCTACTTGGTCCAAAGAGAATAGGCCTATTTACCAGTCCCAGTTTCAGATGCAGATCAGAGTCAATCAGAATTTTGCAGTGCAGTTTCAGGTTTAAGACATGTGCACAGAAATGCTTATTTTAAAGAAAATGCATGGAATACACAAAGAATGCATGTAAAAAGCGTATCAAATGTGTAGAATTTCAGTGTGACCTTCTGTAAAAGAAAAAAAAATACCTTAAAATGGGACATGATAAGACCTGTGATTGGGTACATGTGAATTTGACATAAAATAGTTTATAGTGAAATAAAAATAAATGCTGCTTTTATTGCCAGCAACACAAGTAGGTCAAAGCATTATTTTCAATCCCATCTTCAAATCTTACAGAATCTGTGGAAGAGTGTGTATAATGGAAAGAACATGCTGGGATTGTCTCTATATTATTTTGATAGAAAAGATGAATCATGAAGATGAAAGTTCCTTTTTTGTAAGATGTAGATGTTTGAAAAACAAGGCAAAACATGAGGAGTCAGTTACTGAGTTGTTATATTTGGTGTGGATTAACAGCTCTCCACCCCCCTCACAAAACCATAGGTAGTTCATCTACATGAGTGCAAACAAATGCTATAAGTGCATTGCAATTATAAGTAGCCTTAGGAAAGAACAGGCAGCAATTTTATGATATTGCCAAAGATTAGTGCTGAAATGCTGAAATGTATAGCTGAGAAATACTGCCTGCTGGAGAAATGTTTTATTAGAAGAAATGTAACAAGGGATTCACGATGCAGCTGTAAATCCATTAAGGCAAGTAGGGCTCTGCAATAACCTTTCTCCATTTCAGCTATTAGCTTCAAGGATTGCTGAACTTGGTAACTTTGCAAATGTGGTTTCGCCCAACACAGTAACTTAACCTCCTCTTCACCAGCCTGTATTCAGGTCAGAAATAAGGAGACATGACTTCGCTAAAATGAGTACAGCATCATCTATTTTGTATCAGAATTTATTTTATCTGCACCAATCTGCTACTGGAAGGCATAAACATAAAAATGTTACATCCTTGATATCCTTCTGGAGTTTTTTCCTAGATAAGATAGTTGCAAGAGCTGAAGCCAGCTGCAGTATAATTTTCTGTTCATGTTTTCTTAAGTCAAGCGGGTGAACCAGATCCTTACCAGAATTGACCTCATGGGTCCACCCAGCTGTCAGTCATGTGACATCATCATAATATCCTATGGATGACAGATGAGTGGCCCTGCCTGTTTATCAAAATCCCTTGCTGGAGCAATGTTAAAATGAAGAGGAAGGTGCTTCAAAGACTAGTTTGGCAAACTGCTCCCTGAACCACTTCCTCTCTCCTTTAAAAGCCACTCCAAATGTGACTTCTTTGTGCAGCAATGGGGGGTAAGAGGGAGTTTGCTTTCTTTCGCTATTGGCACCTTTTCCCAAGGAACAGGCACGTGCACTAAGAGCAAGCAAACCCAGTAGTTTTCATCTTCTTTTGGTTGTGTCCATCTGTTTCAATGAGAAGCAGGCATGCATACCAAATTGAGCAGGATTTAACAATCACCTGTCAGTTGTTAAGTGGGGGTTAAATCCTGCTGGGAACAGGCACCTGCAAAAGAACAGAAGAGATGTCAGCTGATTGAGAGGTTGCTGTGGTTTGCAGAAAATGACCTCACAGGCCAAATTGGACCCATTGGGTAGGCCAAGACTGGCCTTTGACCCAGAGGTTCCTCAACCCCTGTCTTAAGTCCATGTGGTCAGCAAATTTCAACATACAGTAATGTGTTCTGTCCAGTCATTCTTGCTATAATGGTCACCGCAAAGAAAGCTTGCCCCTTTTCATGTCTGTATGGTTTTCAAATTTCCTCACATTTTTATAATATAGTGGTACCTCAGGTTACGAACTTAATTCGTTCTGGAGGTCTGCCCTTAACCCGAAACTGTTCTTTATCTGAGGCGTGCTTTCGCTAATGGGGCCTTCCGCTGCCGACGCACCACCAGCACGCGATTTCTGTTCTCATCCTGGGGTAAAGTTCTCAACCCAGGGTACTACTTCCAGATTAGTGGAGTTTGTAACCCGAAGTGTTTGTAACATGAAGCATTTGTAACCCGAGGTACCACTGTAGAAAAATTATTATCTGTTTAAAATAGACATCAACCCATGGTAAAAAGCCTAATAGGGACAACTCAAATGCAGTATTTCACATTGACTGCCTGTGAAAAGGGTTTAGCAGTTCATCTTAAAACAAGAGGCACCCTGAGCAAAATGATGAAATGGTATGTTTAAAAGTTGGCACTGATACTTTCAAACAGAACCAAACATTATTCTTTGGAAGAGACAATGCTAGAAGAAAGGAGGTGCTTGAGGGCAAAATCTAAATCATACATTGTTGACAAAGATATCCCCAGTGTTCTATGGATATATAACAGGGGGAGAAATAGTACACTGGAACATTTCAGACATTTTTGCAAATGTGTTCAGCTTATGAATGATTCTGAAGATATGTTTAATATTTTTGTTGTCTAGAATGATTGAAGACTGTGGGAAAAGAGGAACCACCATGGCAGAAAGGAGACAGCTGTTTGCAGAAATGCGTAAGTACTGTGGCATTCTTTCCCCCAGTAGATGAATTCTTTCTTGCAAAAGACCAGCAAGACAGAATGTAACTTTGGTAAATATTGCATGGATTTGTGCCTTGGGCAAATAGGCAGTTGTTCTGCAAAACAGTGGCTTTAAAGTGCTTTAAAAGTGCTTTTAGTGTGAGGCAAGTTGCAAGAATGTGTACTTAATTGACCTAATGCTGTCTTTTTGTAGTTCTGTGGATTATTTAAAAGCTGGTTTTCTACCATATCAGTTACTGCTAAGAGATTCAAGGTGAGGAGATTTGAGAGAGGGGGGAGGGAGAGGGCTTGGAGAGAAAAAGGAGTGTGAGCAATCATAAGCACTGGCTCTCATTTGCAGCATCAAATGTCAAGCATATTTGGTGATCCTCTTTACTGTGGATGCCCTGTACTTTTGAGCCCTAGACTGAAATCTTCCTAGCTTTACTAAAGTGTCTCGGTTTTCATTTTCTTAATTAGAGAATGTTAACACTGTCCTGATAAGAAATGCTTCCTGTCACTGAGGAATGACAAGCGCCAACCCCTGGATGCAACTTTAATTTCAAATAAATATGCTGAGCATTGTCATTCCTAGTGTGTAAAACTGTTTTGTAAACCTTGTGTTTGTTTTTGTATCAGACGTGTGAAGTTGATCAGGATTATTTCCATTTCACAAATGAGCAATTGAAGCAGAAAGATGTCAGAATATGTCAGAACCTAGCCCATATTTCCAGTGTGGAAGTCATATGCAGGTCTTTTCAAGTCAAAGCCAATAGTCTCTTCATTGTACTCACTTATATTAGGAGAAAAGTGAAGCCTTATCACTTTTTCTCCATTCAAAATGGTCTCTACCAGAGAGTGTGAGGCAACCTTGGCTATATGGTTCAATCCAGCAGGTCTTTACAGAACCATGATGTATAAAACTGGATAATACAAGTTGGATTTAGGATGATTGCAAATGTTGGTGATTATAAACATACATTAAAAAACTGCTTTCTAGTTAACCAAAGAAGCTCTCAAGAAGTAGAGAGCTTCAGAAGCTGAGATTCTTGATCAGCTGACTGCTAATCAAGAGGCTCTCCTCTTTTGCCAGATTAGATGCCAATATGTGGGTTGCTTTACAGAGTAAAGCTACCTTTACCTTCTAGGAACAAGGACCACAAGTAACTGAAGCTGACAGTACTATGCTTAAATAAATGTTGCAATGGGTTGGATCCAGACAAAGTTGGCTGAGGTTAGTTCTCATGTAAATTAATGGTGCTATTGAATTAAATGGAACCTAACTTCAACTAAAGGGAGGCAGGTGGTGCTGTGGGTTAAACCACAGAGCCTAGGACTTGCCGATCAGAAGGTCGGCAAAGATAAAATGGCATTTCTGTGTGCTGCTCTGGTTCGCCAGAAGCAGCTTAGTCATGCTGGCCACATGACCTGGAAGCTGTATGCCGGCTCCCTCGGCCAAGAAAGCGAGATGAGCGCCGCAACCCCAGAGTCGGTCACGACTGGACCTAATGGTCAGGGCTCCCTTTACCTTTAACTTCAACTAACTTACAGCTTGAAGCACATTTAGCTGAGGGTCTGTGTAAAGCTTGGTGTAAGCTAGAGCCGTGGTTCCCCATGGACCACGTGAACATTGATTATGGTTTTGGTGGACCACTTAATGATGGACCACACCAGTGTGGTGTAGTGGTTAAGAGCGGTAGTCACGTAATCTGGGTAACCGGGTTCGCGTCTCCGCTCCTCCACATGCAGCTGCTGGGTGACCTTGGGCCAGTCACATTTCTCTGAAGTCTCTCAGCCCCACTCACCTCACAGAGTGTTTGTTGTGGGGGAGGAAGGGAAAGGAGATTGTTAGCCGCTTTGAGACTCCTGAAGGGGAGTGAAAGGCGGGGTATCAAATCCAAACTCTTCTTCTTCTTCTTCTCTGCCTGTTGTAGCAGTGGTAATGCTCTGTGCTAAATGCTGTATGGGTTTTGGTTGAATTCAAATTGTAATACAAAAAAAGAATTAAAAGAAGCAATAAAAATACTATTTGAAATCAATATTTAATGCGGACATGCCACCTGAGTGAACCTCATGGACCACTGGTGGATCATAGACCATAGTTTGGGAACTCCTGAGTTAGAAGAAGAGCTAGATCTACTCCTAATAGAATGTGAATGGATATGGGAAAAGGCAGCTTCCACTGTCTTTGACTTAGCAAGTTTCACACAGAGTTGGAAGAGACCCTGAGGATCATCTAGTCCAATGCCCTGCAATGCAGGAATATGCAGCTGTCTCGTACAGGGATCAAACCTGTAACTTTGGTGTTATCAGCACCATGCTCTAAACCAACTGAGCTACCCAGGCTCTGCTAGAACACTGCTGCTTGAACCCTGACCAGTTGGGACTAACCCTGTTTCAGCAGAATGAGCTTAACTGAGTTTTAAGATGTGATGCAGAAGTTACTGGTGAAGATAGTCCATGATGGCTGATCTTTTATTTCTGCAAAGAGGGCACTCTTCAATCTGCCAACAATAGTCTCTTACGTTTTACACATCACTGTTCCCCATTTGACGTACAAAGACAAGATTGTAATTGGCACGAAGGTCAAAGGCCATGAGGGGTTCTAATAAACAGCACACCTTCCATTGAGCTGGCACCTAATTAATAATAATAGGAGAGACAGATGTTTCCTGATACATACGTTGAAAAGTGAATGTATCCACTCTTAAGTTGCTGCTGGCTTATGCTATCTATTAGAAATACAGTTCTGCTGAACACAAAACAGCAGCCAGCTCTTACAGTGTATTACTGTATTTTGTCTACAAACTGTTAATCATCATGGCACATGAAACCATTTTTTCTTTAAAAAAAATACATTGTTGCTTATTCATCTGATAACTTGCTTTTTGTTGTTCTTCAGCATCCAGATCGGAAGTCTTTCATTTGTAGAAAAAAATGTTGAGCGGTAGCCAAAATACAAATAACAATGATAACAAAACTACATTCATCTGGGACAGAAGCAAAAATCACAATCCTTTTTGTTTCTGGATGTATGCCAACAAAAGCTGCTTTTTTTACCATGGGTTTCTCATTCAGTAATACAATTGAGTGATAAGCAAACAGAATCATTAGGCAGAATCGGGTATCTGGCTGACAGATAAAGAGCAGAAGAGTTTGCTTGATGAAGCCCAAGGCCCATTTGGTCCAGCATCCTGTCTCACAGTGGCCAGCCAGATGCCTGTGGGAAACACCATGAGAGCAAGTTCCATAGTTTAACCATGTGCTACATGAAGAAGTACTTTCTTTTATCTGTCCTGAATCTTCCAACATTCATCTTCAGTAGATGTCTGGTGTTATGAGAGTGTGAGAAAGACGTTTCTCTATTCATTTTCTCCATACCGTGGAGAACTTCCATCGTGTCACTTCTTACTCGCCTTTCCTCTAAACTAAAATGTCCCAAACACTGCAACCTTTCTTCACAGGGGAGTTGCTCCTGTGATGGAGGAACACTCAAGAGAAGTTTCTACCACCCACTTTCTTGCTGCCGGTGGGTCATACTCTGTGGTAGTTGCTGCTACCACCCTCCCACTTACTCTTCCAGCCCAGATGGGAGAGGAATGGATATATGACTCTGGATAGGAATGGGAATGTTTCTTTTTTTTAAAAAAAAAAAAAAGGAAGGAGGAAGGAGGAAAGTAAATTTGAGTATTGCGCTGTGTTTGTCACTTGAGCTGAGGGAAACAGCTGGGACCACTAGAAGGTGTCTTCCAAGCAAAGTCAAGTCCACCAAGGATAAACCATCTTGTGGGAAAATGAAAAACTTTGAGGATGAGGCAGTAAATAGTTCAAGGGAACTTCTGGTAGGGACAGATGGCATTCAAGCAGCCAATTGGTAAAAGGATCTAGTTGAGAATGCTTGGCAGATGGAGAAGAGAAAGGAGAAAAGCAAGCAAAAGTGTAGTGAGCAGAACTGAGAGAGGGGAGAAATAATGGCGCTTCTTTCTCTCTTTTTCCTGACATGGAAGCTTGATATTTCATGGCCGGACATATTTGCTTCCTGGGCTATAATCATAAAGCCAAAATAGAGGGGGCTTTTTCATTTTACCAATAATATTTACTTTTTAGATCCTTTGATAAGTCTTTCAATTACTTATTGACACACAAACAGAACTTTCCCCTTGATTTGTCTCCAATCATGTTGGATGATCCGTTCCCTGAAGTATCATGATGTGCACATGCTGTGAACTTTTTCTCAGGAGAGTATCAATCAATCAAAACTTGTTAAATGTCATTAGTGCATTCAGAATTTGTCCTATCTTTTTTAGTTTTACAAAGGGTTATGTGCATTTTTCTTGGAAAGGCTGTTTGCAAGGCCTTTGTGTTTTTGTAGGGTCATGCAAATCAGCTAAATATAACGCTTCCCAGCTTCATTCAGCTCGACTTTGCATATTTCCCCCACAGCTGCAATTGCTCAAACTGGCTGTCCAAAGTCTCCTCTCTCACATGCATATGCAAAGCAGCTTTATAAACAGCAACACTTTAAAAACCACTAAATTTGGCTTAATGAAAAGGTAGCAGAGGACCATACCTTTTGAATTTTAATTATCCAAATACAAGATGCTTCCAGAAAGGTTGTTGCATGACCCTCCTTCCCATTTGCCCCATATTTTTTAAATTTTGTACTCCTACCTCCTCATACAAATCTTACACCTAAATATATGGTTTGCAGCTAAAATAGATTAGTAGTTTGCATGTCTGATATCTTATTCTGAACTGATTCTCATCGGTTGTGGGTATTTGTTGTAAACATCATAGTTAAAATATTAAAATTACACAGTGTTGTCCTAGAATTGGAGCACAGCCATTTTGTTTTTTAGCCTGTGGTTAGATCAGATTGTGTGTGTTTTCTGAATGACAGATACAGAAGGTTTATTCTTTATCCACTGCTAAACTATTTTTAACACTGCATTCTTCCCATTCTCTCTAGTTAGAAAAGACAGCCTTGAAAATGCTGAAGGGAACATTTCTTTGTTTTCTCTCTTTTGTCTGTGAGGTACATGCACAAATTGCAACTATCATAGCATATGCATAATTTTCTGCCACTAGGGGCTCAAGATCTGGATCGCATCCGTTTATCTACCTACAGAACAGCATGCAAGCTTAGATTTGTACAGAAGAAATGCAACTGTAAGTATGTCACTGGTTAATTCGAATTACCATCATTAATCTTATCTTCCACTTTAGAGTTGTGTTTGTTCCCCAGTTGAAATGCAAATAGGAATTTATTTTAATACGCAAGATGCTAATAAGAACACCTGGTTCTCCAGAAGAGCATGTTATTACACTACTGCTAATTATACTTTAAAGTTTAAATGTTTGCATGTGGATGAGGGTAAGAGGGAGTGGGTGGAGCTTTTTAAGCACATCTACTTTTCCGTTATCAAAATGATGAGATGAACTATAAAATAAATAAAATCTCCCCCCCCCTTTTTTTTTTTGTTTCTTTTCAACACAATTAGATTTGTTCATCTTACCTCTAAGATTACCTTGTGCAGCTGGGTGGAACTTATTTTAAGCATCTACAGTCCCAATAGATACTAATTTTTACCTTCAGAATTTTCATTATTAGAATGGAAAGCAAATTTTAAGTGGTAAATAGGTCATTATAACAAGCCATTCTTAAGAATGCTACATCCTCCTTATACCATTATTTACAGCTTTTATATAATATTTTGCATATTATAGGACCAAAACAGCTCCTGAAATAATTAACATGGTGTTGATGGCATCTGATGATTTTTGTGTATGTATGGTGAGAGCCAGTGTGGTGTAGTGATTAGCGTGCTGGATTAGGACTTGGAACGCCCAGGGTTCAAATCCCCATTCAGCCATGAAGATCACTGGGTGACCTTGGGCCAGTTACTGTCTCTCAATCTAACCTACCTCACAGGGTTGTTGTGGGGATTAAATGAGGAGGGGGGAACCATGTGTGCCACCTTGAGTTTGTTGGGTGGAAAGATGGGATATAAATGTAATTAATACATAAAATAAATTATGGCCACTATGCAGATCTGAAGGATGTGTCTCTGGGATTTGCTAGAGGGAAAGCTCCTATATTGACTCTGTTTCCCAATAGGCATATGAGAAGTTCCTAATAAGTAAGATTCCCTGCACTGCATACCCTGTACTTAATATTGGCATATGGCTGAATCCGGTGGTATTCTGCATGCCTGCTTGCCTTATTTAAAAAACAACAACAGAACTTATCTTTTTAGGTATTATTGGAAGATACAAAAAAGGGTGAAGCCAGCCAGCCTGCTTGCTTCATCAGAGCTGCTAAACTCAGTAAACCCCTTTGCTGTTGTCCTATACAGTGGTACCTCGGGTTACATACGCTTCAGGTTACAGACTCCTCTAACCCAGAAATAGTACCTTGGGTTAAGAACTTTGCTTCAGGATGAGAACAGAAATCGTGCTCCGGTGGCATGGTGCTTCAGGTTAAGAACAGTTTCAGGTTAAGAACAGACCTCCGGAATGAATTAAGTACTTAACCCGAGATACCACTGTACATGAGTGTAGCTGTACTGATCTGTTGTGTATTGGTTTAAGTAAATAGAACTACAACAATAGCCGATAGGAGGCAAATGGGGCAAGTCTGTCCTGTGATGTGTATCCATTTCCGTTCTAACAGGTTGCACGTGTATATCCAGCATCCAGGGTGGTTGTGTAATGGACAAAATGCCTTTATTAGTGAGTTGTTGCCAGTCAAGTACCTTCTGCCTTTCTCCAGACATGTCTCTGCCACATCTGTTGCTTTATACTGATGTAGTTACACTATATCCAATGATCATTCACAATAGTACATAAACACTAGCTCAGTGCCCTGGTCTGCGTTGCCTCATCAGTAAATGCCACAATTTGCAATGTTGCTGTGTGTTCTGTGTGCTGGATTTTACAAGCTCATTTGCCAGTGAAAGAACTCACATCAATAATTATATAGAGAATCCTATGGCCTGATTATGTACCTATTTTTTTGTAATGGGCTTTACGTTTTCAGTCCTTGACACAGGACTGCAGCCTAAGTACTAACATATTCAGCTGTACTCCATTGCTTCAAAGCAATTTGAGGATTTTTTATTCTCAGCAGGCACCTAAAACGCACACCGCTCCTTAGCTACTTCCTTTTACTAGACTATAACCACTTTTATAAATCCAGGTTCACCCACAACTTGTACTCCATACATATCACCAAGATTCTACAAGAATATTCTCAGCACACTGCTGACAAATGCACAAAAGTTATCTGCCATAGGATTTGGTGATGGGTGGCTTTAAAAGAGCTTTTGACTGTTCATGAACACCTAGTATTTGCAGTGTGTGTGTGTGTGTGTGTGTGTGTGTGTGAGAGAGAGAGAGAGAGAGAGAGAGAGAGAGAGAGAGAGAAATATCACATTGCCTTACATTTTTCAGAAGGTAAATTTAAAATTCTTTGGTTTTCCAAAAGCAGTTTATATGCTTCCTTATCAATTAGACTTAGCAAGCTAAGTTGTCCAGCCACAAAAACAACAGCAAAATTGAATTCCTCACACCCCAAAACATATTTTAGAGACCACTCATTGAAGAAATCTGCAAAAATTAAGTTTCACCCCCTAAAATGACACAGACCTTACTGGTCAGTGTTATGTCTGAACCAGGGATCGTGGTTTGTTTTGCTCAGACAAACCAGAGCTAATAAGCCTTGACTTGACATCATAATTTGTTGTGAGCAAAACAAACCATAATGTCCAGTTGAAATGTACCACTAGGTCAATTATCAAATGCCACTATGGCATGGTTAGTTGCTCCTGCACATCCAAGGAGATGAGCGAAGTGAGAGCCAATGTCAGTTAATACATTGGTATAAATATAACATGTATGGTTAACCTTTGGCCCTCCAGGTGTTGCTGAACTACAACTACCATCATCTCTGCCCATTGGCCATACTTGCTGAGGCTCATGGGAATTGTAGTTCAGCAAGATCTGGAGTGCCAAAGTTCCCAACATGTGAAATATAACAGATCTAGGAAATACACAATCATCACAATATAATTTTACTGCAATATTTGAGCTTGGTCATGCAGCTTAGGTTTAATGGATAGGTAGTTGAAGCAAGCAGTAGATGCCATTCATGGTTATGGAAACACATGTCAAAACTTCAGTAGAGAACAGTTAGGGTTCAATAGTTTAGGTGCTAAGATAGCAGGATCATGAACAACAGAACTGAGTCGAAAATGGGAAGTGTCAGCTTCTATAGCCTGCAACACTGTATGAACACCAGAAATCTGGATTTCCAGAATACCTTCTTCCTCAGCATAAAATGTTTCATTTGCTGAAAACTACGGCTTTTCGTATTTTATTACTTGTAGCAGTTATTAAAAAGCATTTAGGATGATGAAATCTCAAGCACACATATGATCTCTCTGTGGACCACAGCAGCGGAGGCAGAGCCTAACAACATACCATAATCAAAACTCCATTATACAATTAAACAGTACTGTACGGCTGGAAAACAACCGCCATCCTTGGTGGGCCTTACTCATTGTGCTGCATAGTTATTCTCCAGTGCTGGCTGTTGAAAAAGCAAGGCTGCTGATTTCCCTAGATCAGAATAAACAGTTGGCAGTTGAAAACCTTGGATTTAAAGCCAGGCTGATGATTCTAATATGGGGTTTAATTAGAGCTGACAAACTGGGAGTTCATATCCCTGATGGTTTTTAATTTGGCACCTTGGGGGTTTCAGTGTTGTTTTTCTCCTCTGTTCTCTTTTGAATGAAATACTTTTTGCTGTGTCTCATCAGGAGAACAATACAGCTGTTTTCATGGGGAATGGCGTAGTGTGATGACCGCGGAGGCGACCTTGTTAACTTCCACGCCTTCCCCAACTCTAATCCTTCTCTTCCTCATACTCTTCTGCTCAGTTCAAATAGTAGCTAGGCCTCAGAGGCATGTAGGCTAGTCAGCTTCAATTTCTTACATACCTCGGGGCCTCTTTCTCTTCTGCCTGTCACTTTATGTTAGCCTTGTGTCCCACCCTGTCTAATGAACAATAATTCACATCTGTAAATTAAATGCAAGTGCTATTAAAGATGTACTCACTTCAGATATTTTTAAACACATCGTGCTCTGGGCCAGCCTCACATCAGTGGCTATTATATCATCAAGCCGGCAGCAAAGGAACTAGAATCAGAGTGTTAGACTAGGATGCAAAAATGAAGTTCCAATATGGATTTGCAGCCCATGCTTTTGAAACCAGTTTCCTAGGTGCGGTTCAATCCTATGCAGTTCTGAAGCAAATAACATTTACGTCACTTGCACTCAGCTCACGATAGGACAGGATCCTTGTTCTCCAATTTACCTGCATTCCTTGCAAAATCAGTGCTTTGGCTTTTGTTGCTAAAAGGATGCAGTCAAAATAAATGAGCATAAATCCAAGGTGATGGGGGCTAAGCTGTGTGGCAGGTGGTGAGGATTTGTGGCATTCCTGTTCTAAGTTCCACCATACTTTAAAAGTTATAATCTAGCTTCACCTTTACAGTATAATGACATAAGTAGTAATTTATTTTAACTTGGACCAGAGTGTAATGCCATCCTGTTCTCTGATTACCTATTTCTTTCATTTATTTACTATGCCTCTGTTTTTGTGACCATCAAATAATCTCATTTTCCTCTCTTCCCTGAAAATGTCTTTGCTTTGGATTTGCAAATCATCTTCACATTGTGTAAGATTAAAAATATATATTTAAGATACCCAGACTCTTACTCCACCTAGGGGTTCAGGGAACATCATCTAAAATGGCTGTTGCCGTGTTCCAACAGAGTATAAACTTATATATAAATTTCAGTGTGCATAATATTTTACCCAAATCCCATTTATTTCTTGCTTTTCTAATTTATATTATTTCCATTTATTGCTGATAGCCCAAGATATTTTTGTGTTAACCAAAACTGTTCCTCTATTCTATTGCTTCCTGCTGTCATCCAGTGCATTTGATGATGCAGCATACAATTTTGCTGAGGTGCTACCGAGGCAATAAACACTGGATTCTAGTATTAGTCAGGGAACGGGGATGGATGGGTGAAGTATCAGTAGAGAATGATGCAGTGTAACTCTAAACATATTTATTTGGAAGTAAGTGTCTTTAAAGACG